GTCTGCCCTCCTGCCCCTCTCTCTGGGCAGTAAGGTCTGTGTCTGCCCTCCTGCCCCTCTCTCTGGACAGTAAGGTCTGCGTCTGCCCTGCAGCCCTCTGTGTGTGCTGTGTTGTGCTGTGGTTTGCTGTCCTCGGGCTGGCCAGGCTCAGCGCTGACCACACTCTGTGAATCGCTTTTCCAAGAGTGGCTGAGAGTGTTCTTCCTGTGAGGTGCCCAGTGCCGAGACCGCACAGCCCTCCCATATCCCCCCACCTTTAGCTGGCCGCCGCTGGGGCCAGAGAGCCTGCACGTGCTCCAGGCCGGATCCCCGTGTGTCCCCTGGTGACAGAAGACTAGCCTGCGGGCAGGCCTGGACACGCTGGTGGGCCTGACGGACTGACGGACCCTTCTCAAGCAGAGCTGGCTGGACAGCGACCCCTGCCTCATGCTGTGTAGACAGGCCAGTCAGGACTGGCTTTCCTTCCAGTGTGGGATCGTTCAGGAACGGTAGACTCTTGAGTTCTGGCATCAGAATACATGAATACATGAAGTTTCTCCCCTCGTAGACGGCCTCTCCCACTCTTCATTTCCACTTGCCCCTGCTACCCTCAGGGAGGCGGTTTAGAAAGCCTGCGGCCAAGAAATATATGTAAAAGAAATCGTTGTTCCCTTTGCCATCGGCTTATTAAACGCAGCTAATTGACTGTTGTGCTCCGGGATGGAGCGATTGCATTATGTGTAGTGATTGTCTCATATGGGCAGAGTGCGATGTGTATATAAACTGTATGTATTGTTGCATGTCCAGGACTATTGTTTGCCTTTAGCATGCAATTATATTTGATGTATTATTCGAATTATTCATTTTTGTAGTTTTGTATGGTAATGCCGAAGACGAATCTCCATCCTTTTGGATGGACCATAAAGTTATATAAATAAATTCCTGAGGTAACATAAGGTACAGGCATGTTTGAGACCAGGAATAGGAATACTTGCCAAAAGGAATTGGAGCTAGATGCTGGGAATGCACTACTGCGGCATGGAAGAGGGTTCTGAGAGTCTGGACCAGGAGCAGGACTGGGGCGGCAGACTGGTGACCAGTTCCTTCTGCACCCTGCAGGCACAGCAGAGCTCCTGTCTGCTCTAATGGCCCTGTGTGGTGGATGGGTCACTCCAGTCACAGTGCTTCCTTCAAATGCAGGTTAGCATTTGGTTTGATATATGCAGAAGGAGGTAATTAACTGCAGCATGGTAGGCAGGTGTCCCAGGGAAGGCAGGTAGCTGTGGGACATGCTGCAGGTGGGCCAGCAGAGGGCGTCACACCATTGACCATGGAGCTGTAGAGCAGGGGGGACCCATCCTTCTCCCAGAGGTCTCTGTTCCAGTCAAGCTCCCAGTTACACAGTTAAATCTTTAATTCACTCAGTAAGATGATTAATTCAACATATTTTATTTTTTTCAGCACAAAAGCAGAAATTCCCTCTTCACTATTGCATTTTCTAAGTAACATAAAATTCCAAACTTTTGAGTAGAAAAAAAACCTTGCAGAGTTGTGTCTGTTTGATTGCGGACTCAGTTAGCTACAGTAGTTATGTGGTCTGGAATGAAAGCCAGCAGGACGGGACTGTGACCCCCTGCTGTAGTGCGTTTCTCAGCCAGTGTGCCTCCTGACATTATCCCCGCGGAGGGGTGCCCTTGACATCGGTGCTCGGCGCCTGCAGAAGAGCTGGACCTTCCCTGTGGATCACGACGACGTGTTGCCTTTCCTGCACAGGAGCCAGTGTGCCAAGGCAGGTAACGAGCATTGTGGGAGTCCGCCGTGTAAGCCTGGGAAAGGGCCGGAGCCAGTAAACACTCCTGGACCCCGGTGAGCATGGAAACGAGCTGTTTGTTTTGTTTCCCCTGCTGGAACAGCGCCGGCGCCTCTTCCTCTGCGTCACTCGGGCTCGCTCCGCTCCAGCCTTGCGGGGGGCGATGCTCTGGGCAGGCCTGTGGAGCTGCTGTCTTATCGATGTCCTGCTGCAGAAGGACGCGGTGGAGCTCAGACCGCGTGTCCCTTCTGCTGTCGGAGCAGCTAGTGAATAGTATCTGGCAGTGGAGTAGCTGAAGGGGGAAGTGTTTGCCGAAGGCGGTTGGAGTGCGCTGAGGCACACCTGTCTCCCGCGCAGGGGCATGCAGTGGGCGGCCGCGCAGACTCTGAGGCACACCAGAGCAGGGAAAGTGAGAGGGCGGAGGAGTGACAGCGGGCAGGCTGCTCTCTGACACTGCCAGCGGATTCCCTCTCAGGGCACAGCACGGCAGGGTGTGTCACTGCCTGTCACTCCTGGACACGGCACTGCAGGGTGTGTCACTGCCCGTCACTCCTGGACACGGCAC